GAGAGAGAGAGAGAGAGAGAGAGAGAGAGCAAACATTTACTTAATATTATTTTTTAAGACATTTAATGCACTTCTGGTTTTAAGTAATAAAGAATTGATTGAAAACACTTGAAGTATAATAATATATATCATATTAAAGGAGAGAGAAAGAGTGAGTGAGTGAGTGAGTGAGTGAGTGAGTGAGAGAGAGAGAGAGAGAGAGAGAGAGAGAGCAAACATTTACTTAATATTATTTTTTAAGACATTTAATGCACTTCTGGTTTTAAGTAATAAAGAATTGATTGAAAACACTTGAAGTATAATAATATATATCATATTAAAGGAGAGAGAAAGAGAGAGTGAGTGAGTGAGTAAGAGAGAGAGAGAGAGAGAGAGAGAAAGAGAGAAAGAGAGAGTGAGTGAGTAAGAGAGAGAGAGAGAGAGAGAGAGAGTATTGAAAGTGAAAGTAGTGGCGACTGTATAGCATCAACACATATAGTTTTTATCCGCCCCCGTCTATTCTGCCGTCTCTTATCAAGCAATTATAGTTTGCGTCAAAATATTTACTGTATTTTCTCTCTATCACTGGTTTTGAACCATATTTTCCTATATTATAATTAAAGGTATTTTCTATTACATGATTTAAATGGGTTTTTATTTATATCACAGAGTTTTGTAATTGAATATCCTTTTGATGTTTAAACAATTTTCCGTTCAATAAAGCGATTATCTCTAAGAATGACTTGAAAAATGAATAAACATTTAACTACACATATAATTTGAATTAATTATAATATAATTACACACTATTTTAGACTCAAAAGCAGTGTCTTTGTGTGAAGCGATTAAATATTTTCATTTAACTTATACCCATATTTGACTAAACATTTTATTCATATTGATTATAATTGTTATATATTTAGATATTTCTAAACACAATATTTATTCAGTGAATGTACTGTACTTTAAAACTATTTCATAATCATCGCAAGCCTTTAGAAAGTCTTTAAACTTTATGAAAATCACTTCTCATTCCTATTATATTATGTCTTTCAATATGTAAACTCTTTGAAAAGTCAATTGAATACAAATGAGTTGACATTCATCTATGTTTGCAATGAATGCCGTTTTTGTCCAATATTTTGCTATATTTGCGAATAAATTACTCGTTATTTAAATAATTAATTCATTCATACAATTCATACATTTTATGATTGAAACACATATGATATACCTTTTTATACAATATATTGATCTATCATTTCCTCAAATTCTCTATAAATTATGAAATCGATGTTCATTTAAAAGTTTCATTTATTTTTCAAATATCACTCCAATATTATACTAAAATCACATTTTATTTTATGCTTTCATTTGGTAAATAATTGAGTTATTACTGTACGTATATTAATATTATACTGTACAGTAGTATATGGTGTGTAATAAATTTTTGCTCATTTTATTAATGCAAAAGTTATGCGATTTTCTTGTGTCAAAAAAAATGTTCAATGAATATTAATATGGAGTTTATTAATATATTAAACACATTATTTTATAATTTATATTAATATAAATAAATCATAATAAATATATTATTGTCACTAAACCTAGCGATTAGTTTCGCCTATTTTATGATAGATTTGAATATTTGTCAATTAATTGACGTGTTGTAGGTTTCGTAAGAAAATGTTCAGTCGATTAGAAAGTGTTATTCATTATTGACTTTTGAAAATTAATTTTAAACATAAAATGAATTTGATAGACAGAGTGTGTATGTGTTTGTTGTTGAATGACCCGTACATTGATATGAATGAATTAAATATGAAATTAATTGTTTTCTATGGGATATGCAGGTAAAGCCATCAACATTACAGTCGACTTTATGCACAACCAGTGCTAACAGCTGTGAAACGGCAGCTAATTGTGAGTACAAATGAATACTGTATTTGAATTGATACTTATATGATATTTGATGGTTTTGTGGCCATATATATGATTGACAGCCATTGAGACGACCACTCATTTGTTGCGAACCAAGAGATGTACAAATCATGACCGGAAGAGAATCCCTGGCAATACATCGGACGCCGAAGAAGTGACTAAAAAAGGTGAGACTCTTCGAGATGTAAAGTAAGGCACATATAGTGAGGCAAAGACTGTGATAATTAATGTCAAATAAATGGGTCTGCAGTTAGTGTTGTTGTCAATCTATTCTTGAATTTAGTGAATGCAGTGCTTTTTGGTGATGATATCGTCATAAGTATTATATTATATGCTTTGCAGTATGCAGTAATGCATTGCCATCACTGAGACTCTGAGAGATAACCAGTGTTTCGAGTGTTTCATTCATTGATTGAATTACTGTTTACTGTATTTTGAGTTAAGTTTGTGACTATTCGGTCGGTGCGAGTGGTGGTGCCGTTTGTGCGTCGGCTCAACACATAACACATTACATACAGTATATGAGAGAAAATGTTTTCAATTCATTACAACTTATTAGCTGTGACTCCAGTGCTGAACACAACTCAATCCCATAGTTGCAGTGAATTTGGTGCTCATAATTGTTGTATTTGTTAATTTAGTTGTATTTTAATTGAAACTTCAAATGCCAGTCTCGACGCCAGTTATGATGAGTTTGTTGTGAAATGTTGTGAAAACATAAATGCGATTATCGATCAAAAATGTTGTTTTGAATACCAGTGCAAAAATGCCTGTTTCTTGGGATATAACTGTGTATTCCATATGAGGTATACTCTGCTAATCATATCCTCCATTCAAAGCTGAGCTAATTTTAGTTCAAACTTAAGGTTATGGCATACCTTCCCCATCACAATGTAGTTCCCGATTATTCTCTATTTATATATTTATTTATTAGATTTTTAATTCTCATTTATTTTTCATTTCTCACTACTGTTTATACAAATTCCCGTTTGTTTCAACATTTCATATCTTAATCCGTGTTTTAAATCACTTTTATATAACATATAATTAAACGCAAAGCCGAATATGTTTTCATTTAATTCATTGCTTTAGTAAATATTTGATTATTGTTTACAAAATTATTATTACATTGAAATACATGTATTCATAACATGTCTATTAATATTAATGCGTTTTTTGGCGAACATTTATTCATCAAATGTAATATTTATTTATATATTTTACTCAATTTTTTATATGACTTGAGACGTGAATACATTGTTTTATTCATTGCATTATTTTCTTACGTTAAAGTCGTGAAATTTATTTGAGATTTTCAACCCAAATGTATTAAAGATATTTGTAGCCATTCAGTGAAAATAATACCCCAATTATAGATTTGTTTCAATTGTTTAGCAAATTATTTAAGACTAAGTAATAATGAAATTAGTATTTTAGATGGATATGTATTTTCACTTAAACCATAGGTTCAGTGATAATATATATTAAGAATTGGATGACTTTTGTGGACATAAGTGAAGTTTATTTGTTATAATAATATGTTTGTTGTGCAGCCTTTGAGAGACAATCCAATCATGTGTTGATTATATGATCTGTGGTTTTGTTTGAATGATATTTACTTTGAAACGATAATTAGTGGCAATAAATGACAATCAGTTATACATGACGTCAGTCCCAATGAAAGGCGGACAACATTTTCAATGAGTTTTTAACTCAAAAGTGTTTTGATTGCAAACGAAACGATTGCCACAAATGAGTCTCATTTTTGTATATTCATATGAATTTCAATTTTATGCCTCAATTTTTAATGATTAAAACCATTATATCTGTAATCTGTTTGTAATGTATGAAAACATTTGTGAAAAACTTGTTGTTTTCGATGACTTTATGCACTAACAGTAAATTAGTATTAAATTGTTGAATGACTTATTCATTAATTTGTTGTCATTTCTCCAAACAGTAGACAATGTATTAGAAAATGAATTAAAGATCGCCGACAAGAGAGACATAAGTATTACTGTCAGCCAAACGACCGCCACTTCACTCACGAGCGAACCCACGCCAGAGATGAGCGTTTGTACCAACTCTTCAGCCAATGATACCAACTCTACGATGATCTCCAATACGCCCAACAATACCAATGAATGCGTTGTCGTCAACAGCGATGTCCACGAAGAGTCTCATCAGGAAAAGAGCCGTCACTTGAAATCTAATCGTAAGTGTCGTCGTGTTTGCCATTGAATTGTCACTCAATTGGTATGTCTTATAGAACCTAATAATCAAATGCCGAACAAAACGGAAGAGGAGTTACGACGAGCCCTTCAGCAACAGTTGGAGTACTACTTCTCGCGGGAGAACCTGTCGCGAGACACGTATCTGATCTCTCAGATGGACTCGGATCAGTACGTGCCGATCGCCATTGTGGCCAACTTTGACCAAATCAAGCGCCTCACAGACGACCGGCAACTAGTGGTCGATGTGTTGCGTCAGTCGCCGTCCGTTCAGGTGGACGACGGGGGAGAGAAAGTGCGACCCCTTCACAAGCGCTGTGTACTTATACTCCGGGAGATCCCGGAGTCGACGACCGCGCAGGACATCTCGAATCTGTTCCACGGCGGAGACAACTGTCCGAAGTTCGTGTCGTGTGAGTTTGCGCACAACCAGAGCTGGTACGTGACCTTCGAGAGTGACGACGACGCGCAGCAGGCCTTGAGATACATACGCGAAGACATCAAAGTGTTCCCCACGACCGGCAAACCCATTATGGCTCGCATTAAAGCCAAACCCATTGTCCACTCGGTGGCCAACAACTACAATAAGAACGGATTCCGCCCACCGGTCGTAGTCGGCGGCCCTCCCGCAGCCACTGTCGCCCCCACCGCTGTGGTGGTGAACGCGGCCAACACTGGCATATCAAACACCGGCGCCGCCCCTAACGACACGCCCTTCACGTCGACGGCCAGCGCGCAGCCAATTATCGGCTCTCAACCCAACTTCACCACTGGTTATGCAAACGTGCCTACAGTCAACTTCAACCCCTCCCGGGTATGTCATCCCCTCTCATCCCTTTCCCATGAGTTTCCAATTGAGGATCTAATGATATGTCTGTGTGTCTGTGCCCTCCATAGCAGATATACCCGCCCTTCTATCCGCCATCTATGCTGCAGGCGTGGACGCCCACCACTCAGGCTTGTTATGACTTGAGCACCGTATTTGTGGCCAACGGTCTGGCCCCACACGCCACCCACGCCTACGCGCCCGCAACGGCACCACCCGTGTTCGCCACCAAGACGTCCATCCGAAACAATAACATTAAGCCCCACCTAAACAGTCATAACAGTCGTCCCAAACATCCATTTCCCAATCATATCAGTAATAGTAATAATAGTAATATAAGTCCCAACACTAATAGTATTAATAATAATAATATTAATAACAATATTACGAGTAATGGCGGCACCGGTGCGGCCACACCACTGGCCATCACACCTACGAATGGCTCAGTGCTTGTGACGGATTATATCGCAAATAACAGCCACTATAACAGTGCTAAACATTACTCGCATTCAAAGACTTACGTAACCGTCGCTGAGAACCAATTGAACGCCAATATCGGTGGCGTCGATGGCCCGGTTGTAGTGAACCCATTGTCGCCCAAACACGACGGATCAGCTCAAAGTTCTTCATCGAACACCGGTTCCACGCGATCGCAGTTAAGCCAATGTTCGGACACGTCGTCGACGGCTGAGAGCCGACTCGACAACCGCTCGAACTCGCCGTCGAGTCACTCATTCGGTGCTCACAAGAGTCGAGACTATCGCGACGCCAAAGACATGAGGAATCGGATCCGAAGGCCGCGAAAGGAGGACAACGAGAACCCAATTAGTCATAGCAGTGATAGTTCCAGTGCTCCCAAACCCCCCGTCGCCCCCACGACCGCCGCTTCCGCCTCAAGACTTGTGGCGTCCGTAACGGCGCACAACGAGCCCTTCGACCTGAAGGCCCAGTCCTTCCCTCCTCTGCCCAGTTGTGCAACGATTCGCTCAAATGATGGCAAANTGATTTAAAACACGGATTAAGATATCAAACGACTGAATGTTGAAACAAATGGGAATTTGTATAAACAGTAGTGAGAAATGAAAAATAAATGTGAATTAAAAATCTAATAAATAAATATATAAATAGAGAATAATCGGGAACTACATTGTGATGGGGAAGGTATGCCATAACCTTAAGTTTGAACTAAAATTAGCTCAGCTTTGAATGGAGGATATGATTAGCAGAGTATACCTCATATGGAATACACAGTTATATCCCAAGAAACAGGCATTTTTGCACTGGTATTCAAAACAACATTTTTGATCGATAATCGCATTTATGTTTTCACAACATTTCACAACAAACTCATCATAACTGGCGTCGAGACTGGCATTTGAAGTTTCAATTAAAATACAACTAAATTAACAAATATAACAATTATGAGCACCAAATTCACTGCAACTATGGGATTGAGTTGTGTTAAGCACTGGAGTCACAGCTAATAAGTTGTAATGAATTGAAAACATTTTCTCTCCGCAAAACACATATACTGTATGTAATGTGTTATGTGTTGAGCCGACGCACAAACGGCACCACCACTCGCACCGACCGAATAGTCACAAACTTAACTCAAAATACAGTAAACAGTAATTCAATCAATGAATGAAACACTCGAAACACTGGTTATCTCCCAGAGTCTCAGTGATGGCAATGCATTACTGCAAAGCATACTGTAAAGCATATAATATAATACTTATGACGATATCATCACCACAACGGTTCCATACGTGTCCTCACGTTTGCGGAGATCGCAAAGCGTTCGGCTAAAGACAAACTCAACCAAAACAGCGACCGAAACACGGCCTCAACGACAGCCGCCGCCGGTGTCGCCTCCAAAGACAAGGACTCGATATCTCCCAACTCATCCGCCATTACTTCTCGTCCATCGACTCATCTTTCATTGAATTCCAATCGCAAATTCAGTCAGTCTTACCATTGGCTGCACTCATGAGTCTCGTAACTAATGACTTGTCATTTCGTTTTCCAGAAGCCGTTATCGATCACAAGGAGAGCCGATTAGATACCGGCGCCAATCGATCGCCACTCTATCGAAAAGACATTCGTCACTCAACCGATGTCCACGAAAGGAACGACAGGTCTTTCCCATCGAGAGTCAAATAACTAGTGATTCAATGAATGGACGACTGATGACAAACAAGACTTTGCATATATTTATGGTTTGATTCGCAAACTAAATCTCTATTTTCATGTGTTTTTTCAGTTTATTCTCAGTTTCAGTATTCAAATCATTTTGATTTTGAAACCATTTACAGAATAGGGCCGGTATTTGACACACTTTACCCTTAGATATGATTTTTTCAGCAATTTGTTGTTCAGTTACGAGTACTTTTCGAGCAAATCATTGATTTTGTTTTGTTTTCCAAAATATTTGCCGAAAAAATATTGCAAAACAAAAGTCATTATAAATGAGTTACTTATGAGCAGAGTTTGATAATCAAAACACAATTCTAAACATTTATTCAAAATATTTGCAACATTTTGTGTAGTTTTGATTATACTGTATATCTTTTAAAAGTTAGTTTTCATTCAAATCACACTTTTTTTAATCATTATATTTGGGTTGCGTTTGGTTTACAAAACTTAGTTTACATTTAAATTATTTCTCTATTTATATAAAACAGAAAGTAATTCAAAAAAATGAAGATTTGATTTGAATTTGGTTTTTCTCTTATGAATTGATATTTTTGTTGAGAAAGTGTTGAGAAAAATATAATAGATTTAGTGAATGTTTTTCAATCAAATGCATTCGTGGCCTTTGAGTTTGCCTATGCCTAAGCCATTGTCATACATATACAGTACATACATATGCGGTCTAATTGGGTTTAATTGATCGACACTTTTGTGAACAATATATATA